AATATTTGGTGACTGATCTGATTTAAATATAAAGAATTAAAGTATAACTGAACAGTGTTAGTTAAGCGAAACAATTAAGACGGACCAGGTGGAACTTATAAATGCTTATTGATTGATTATAAAAGTTATACCGTTGGGTAAGAATTGACGAATTGAATCCAACAACGTGAACGGATCTCAATTTGGAACAAGTTGAACCGAAAAGTATGTTTTACCCAGACACGTTATTTTAAATTAGAGAGTACAAAAACCCTAGGGTATATATATAGGATCTTTCGCCTGCTTCTATCGAAATCGCCGTCGTCGTCCTCGCTCCTCTTCTATTCGCAGACATGGGTTACGACGAAGGCGGAAGAGTCCGACCGGCGACGATCTACAGAGGCGACGACTAGGAGCGTTCTGCGAACCTCGAACCAGCGAGCTCCGACGACGTCTGGCCAAATCCGAGCATCAACTCCAGCCAATTCTTCTCTAGGCAAATCAGCAACGCGACAGCGCTCAATCCAACGGCGAGTTCCGGCAGCGACGCCGGTGACTGACCACAGTGGACCAGCGACGATTTCTGCCGGCAACCCCTTGTCCAGCGACCTCTGTTCCGGCGAAGTCCAGCAGCTCCGGCAGAGTAACAGCCAGCATCCAGTGGCGGCTGTGAGCCGGTAACTATCCGGCGAACTGACAACCGTGGTCACCCAGCAACTTCGGCGACCTCCGGGCCATGAAGTTGAGGTTCGGGCAGTGAATTTTGACCATGGACAATGAGGATGAGATCGAGCAACAACAATGACAGATCCGGGCGGGCTTGGGCAGTGACGGGCTTGCTTGGGCAGCGATACCGGACTGTGCTTGACATCGTCTACCCTCTGTTCGGGTCAAGTTCTCTCTCTTACCATCTAGGTTTGAAATTCTGTTTATAATTGTTATCGTGGTTGATTTATGTGATTTATCTGTGTGATTGTTGATTGTGGTTTGAGGATTGTTGTCGTTGAATCGAAAAGGGGTAGTATGCATGACATAACCCAATCTATGTTTTTGGATGTGTTCATGATGCTGTTATGGAAAATGCAAATTAACAAACATCTTTTTTTGCTTTGAATGTATGGTGCTGGATTTTGTGGCCTACCCAACTGATTCATGTCTTGTGGACAATTCATGAATGTTTTAACTGTATTATTTTGGACCCATTGTTGTGGCTACATTACTTTGCTAGTGGTTTTTTTGTCTTTGTGGACTGCCCAGATTGGTGTACCATTGTGGGTATTTGCTTGTGCGAATTTGCCACCTTTGTGGAATGCCCAACTGATTGTATGGTTAGGTTTATTGCACTTAGAAGTTGCTGCTTTTGTGGCCTTTGAATCACTGGTCTGGTGACTGTGGCTTGGGCTTGGGCAGTGGGTTTGTTTGTGTATTCAAATTACTACCTTTTACAAGACTGAAGGTTTTGGAGCTTAGAGAGTGATTTGTCTACCTCTGTCGCCCTGAGACTTCATACTATGGAGAAATTGATTTTCTGTACTTCATCTCTAAGTTCTCTCCCCTGATTTTACTAAAAAGTTATCACATACTGTACAAAATCTCCGAGACTAAAATGAATGAATGAATGAATTCCCATTTAATCAAATTATCTTAGGATGCATTGTGGCATGTCTTTGCAAGTAGGATTGTTTATATGAAGGCTTCCTGGCAGTGGAACAGTTTGTCAATTGTTTAATGTGCTTGCAATGACTTGCTTCTCATGGATGAGTCCTTGCAGCTCCTTCCTGTTGTTGAGACACTTGATTTCATAAGGAACAAGTTTGCTAGAGTTGATAATCTTCAAAAGTGCACCAAATTGAAGTTTTCAAATTCATTCTCCTGAGAAGCATATCAACATTTGGCGAGGTAAATGCCTTGGTGCTTTAGTTGATGTGGTTCATGTACATGGATTTTTTAAGTGATTGTTTTATGACTTGCATACAAACTAGGGTCTTGCTTTACTCGACTTGGTTTAAAGGGGTAGTCATCTCAGCTAATCCAAAATGTTACTGCCATTTTGCCAAATGATAAACATAACTTTCAAATTTTGATTCTAAAGAGCACTTCAAAAAAGATATTTTTCTTACCCTTTTCCTTTTTTCAGATTGATTAAGTATTTACTTTGTAGAGGTTTATTTCCATGACTAATGTTCTTCCAATAATATTGCTAGGCTTAATCCCAGGGACTGTTGGTATTGCTTAGCAAGGAATTATCTTAATCTTGCAAGTTTGAGAGGCCAAGTAAAGTTTAAGAAGTCACTCTGCCTATGATACTCACTCTTCCACATACTCTGCCTGTGATAGACATTTTGCACAAATTTTATTTTGATGTATCATTATCCAAAATGTGTTGCCTTTTTTAAACCTTTGTAATATGTATGCTGTATTAAGTTGCTCCACTAATATTTAAGTAAATATTAAGTTATTATATGATATTAATATTTTGAATATATGATTTATTTTTGTTTCATGATTAATATTTTATATAATTGAAATAAATTTTAATTATTAAATATGGGTGCTTCTGAAACACAGTTGTTTGAAATGAAACAAAATAGTCTTCTTTGTTCTAGATATACTTTAAAAAACAACAGTTGTTTGATGCAAATATTTCTAGTGGTCTTTCAAGCAATTGTCTGATAACTAATTCGATTACTACTTAAACATATAGTTTGAATATTTCAAGGACCACTAAACAAAATCATAGTGTTAATAATTGTTATACAACAAAAATAAACAGTTGTTTAAAATAAGACCAAAGTAGTAGTCTTA